GGTCGATAACTAGATATAGTTTAATAACGAGACTGATCAGTAATAATTATTCAAAAATGAGCAACATGTTCACGCTCAAACAACTGATATACAGTAAAAAGAATTGCTATGGTCTGAAAAGAAACACAGTTTTTGTAAAGAAAACAAAAAACAAAATATTAATAAAGTGAATAGAAAAGAGTTATTATTTATTTTGTTTATCTATTTTGTTCTATAAGACCTGTAAAGAATGAGCAATTAGATCCAAAAAAGAAAGGCGGCGAGTTGGTAGAATATCTCACATATGGAGTGGCCTGTTCTGAAGTGGAGATAGATGTTCTGACCGGAGAAACTCAAGTATGTATGAAGAAGTTATTTAAAATCTGAAGAAAAAAAACTGTGAGCATTAATAACAACAAAATTACTTGAAAATTACAGACTGTGTTTGATTGAGTCTGTACATAAGGGACAATGAAAAATGCAACATCCCTCGCGCCCCATGCACCGACTTGAACGGTACTCAATTTTCAACACTTTAAAAAGTGCTGAAACAAGTGATCCCGAAGAACCAGAAAAATATAACAACACTGAAGTGAACTACGGGCAACTTTTTGCGTTGACACCTGCTGTTGTGATGTATAAAAATTTGGAAAAACTGATCTCTTAGTTGTTGCCTAATAGTATATACAAAAGTTCGTTCAATTTTCTCTAATTTCATTTATTATTTTTGTTATACTTTACATATGTTGAGCAAATTAAATCGTAGGTGCATACATCTTTCTTTCCCATACTTTTCATACTATGTTTAGCATAACATATAAAGGATAAGTGATATTTCGTTGAAGCACTTCGTCTTAAGTTAAATTGTAATTTTCTTGATCTTGTTGACATAAATTATGACGTTGTTCGATCAGTTGTATTGTATACATATTAAGCAATTGTAAATACGTTTTGTTTTCTGATAATTGAATTAATCTGTCAAAAATATAAAACACAATTTTTGTTGTTTGAAATGTTAGGTATTGCAGGCAGACCTTTATATGGACATCGGGAAAAGTTTGAATCCTGCACTTGACGTTGGACAAATTGAAGGTGCATTTGTGCAAGTAAGACGCTGTTTTATTTTTTATTATATTTCATACAGATTTGAATAAAGTAAATACGATAATGTTGCAGAAATTTTTGGCCCAACAAAAAGATACAAGTGATGGTTGAGTATCATATCATAACTGTGTAAATTTTGGACTTTTTATTGTTTATCAGTGAAAATATTTATTTTCATTCTTGATGATGGTATGTTTGTTTGACTGGATTTTACGTCACACCAACACAGTACAGCGACGTTCGAGCTTTACTGGTGGAGGAAGACCTCAGGTGCCCTTATTCGCACTATTTCAGGCACTAACGGGCACCTGAGTAGAACCACCGACGTTCCGTCATCTAAAGATAGCATGTGATACTATTTAAAACCCCAGAATAAAATACCGTTTTTAAAATAAACAGAGAATGCTAGTGTTATCATTATATTATATATTTTTCTTACCCCCTTTTAAGTGAAAAATTTAAAGACTTAGTTTGGGCAAAATCTTGTGCAAACTTCTATGTTTTACTGCATGTATCGATTATATACATTTTTGTATTTAAAATTGCGCAGGGTCTTGGCATGGTGACGTCAGAGAGTATGGAGATAGACGAGAACGGACGGACGAACAATTGCGATGCGATCGGTTATAAGATTCCAAACATCACAAGCATACCACGTAAAATGACTGTTAACATACTGACCAATAATAATGTCAGCACCTGCTTTAATTCCTCGAAGGTACTACTTGTTTAACAAATTCAGATTGCCGAGCGTTGTAATGATGCTTAGTTGCTGGCATCAAATCACTTGCCTTTTTTGGTTCTATTGATGTGATTGGCTTTAGTTGTTTTACTCGAAAACGTATCCAGTGCTATGATGCCTGCTCATGCACTGAAACGCACCAAATATATTTTTTAAATATGTCGACATATTTTCATTTGCTATACATTTCGAATTTCATAACGCAAGTTTTTATGATTTTGTATAAAAAATCTGATGATCAGATGAAATTTTTATCAATATTACCGAATTTAACAAATTTAATAAAGGGAGGTTATTAGAAATTTATTAACGATAAAGTCCAAGCTTTCAATAAAAATGAATGCATCAATTTAACGTTTAACTATAATGTATATAAACATTTGCTTTACATATTTAACATATTTTTGGATGTTTGGAAATTGTTTTAGAAGAATAATTATATGCACATATATAAAACTTCACTTAAAACAGCACGCCTCCAGGTTCCTGCTAATGTTCGTGAAAATTTTGAAAATGTATTCAATAGTTTAATATTATTAAGCTGACAGAGAAAATAATATGCACATTTCAAACGGCACTTACAACCAATGTAAATTACGTAAATTACAAAAAGAGGTCAAAATATGCAAAATTAACCCTTACTGCGTTAGTAACGCAGTAGAAATATGGTGAAAAATACTGAAAAATTGGCCATCAATCGCAAATAGCATGAAAATAGTTACTTTTATCTTTTGTCTTTTTACTTTTCATAAAACCTCAATACATTTTTCTCAAGTTTTATTTTCTTGAAATATTTTGGCTCATCTGGAGGCATGCAGCTTTAACTGTATGATACACAACATACCGGGGTTTAAATATGAAAAAAAACAAACCAAAAAACACACACACACAACAATTAAGATTTTCTGTATGATCAATTTTTTTGGTTATAATTTATTTCTAGGCTGTCGGAGAGCCACCTCTTCTTTTGTCACTTTCTGTAATTGCCGCAATCAAAGAGGCCGTACTCGCAGCTAGGACTCAAATCGGACAGAATGGATACTTCAGACTAGATTCCCCAGCAACCGTTAAAAGAATTCAAGAAGCATGCGGAAAGCAAATTTAATTTTTGAATGATTATCGAATATTGATATTCATATTGATTTAGTGTTTGAGATTGAATGTTACGTTAAATATATTAAATATGAATTGCTTGCCCGCGGAATATAACTGCCCGCGTATTATATAGTTATTTCATGTGTAATAGGATGGGTATTTACGGTAATCTAAGTTAACAGTTAATCTAAAAGTTATGAGTTACTATCTTTTATACTTATTGCATGGTATATACAATATTATTGTCAACCAATCAAATTGTTGCAGTGAATACTGAATTGTATAAACATGATAAATAAGCTGACTTTGGCAATGTTAGCTAGGTTAGGTACTGTACCTACTCTGGTCAATACTACACACAGTATATAAACGATCTTTCATACTTATTGCATGGTATATACAATATTATTCTCAACCAATCAAATTGTTGCAGTGAATACTGAATTGTATAAATAAGCTGACTTTGGCAATGTTAGCTAGGTTAGGTACTGTACCTACTCTGGTCAATACTACACACAGTATATAAACGATTTGAACCCCAACCGGATCTTGTGAGAAGATGTCAGTGTCAACCATTTTCTGACGCTTGACTTATTTAATATATTGGTATTTATATTGATACATATGGACGTTAGGTTAGTAAATCTTTATTTATATCGTAGAAGAGAAACTTTATTAAACGTTTAAGTTATGCAACATATAAATGTTAGCATTAAAGCTATAAAATAATCGAAACTCACGAACTGCTTTTATGTGATCAACACTGAACACGAACAAAAATCTGTCTTATTTCAAGGTTTATTTAGTTAAACATTGAATCGTGATATCGAACTACTTAAAGTTACATTAAATAAATATGTAAAAAATATTTTGCCGTCGGCCTAAAAATCAAACATTGTACAGTTTCATTAACCTGTTTAATAGAATTGTTGTAAATCTCATCAAATATTGTTCATAAATTAGGATTTTAAACGGGAAACCCCACGGTACCACTAAAGTTCGTATACGAATTTTAACATGCAAATGAAGACTATAATGAGCTCGTGTATGCACTACGTCACAGTTTTATAGTTGCTATCCGGAACACAGCAAATGTGATATTTTCTTGTGCAAACACACTTTAACCGTTTAAGCTTCACGGTGCACTAAACCTGGGGTTCAGTAAAAGTAATAATCTCGTAAAAAGATTAAATTTGCATGAAAACATCCGTTACAATGCGGAAATATACCGTTAAATTAGGACTGCCACTTATAGTCATGTTTGTTGATTTAATATTGATGTACGGATGATCCGAAGGCGGAGTTTCTTATGCCAACAGAAATTGTATTTCCCATTTCGCCACAATGAGGTTACCTTTTTTATGCTAATAAAACTCATTTTGGTTGTTTGGACACCAAAATAAGACCTGGAGTCGATATAAAACCCAATTTATTAATGAAATGTCGCTATTTAGTTTTTTATGAAATTTATTAAATGTAACTTTAAATAATCAATAACAAACGATAATTTAGTCATCTGCAAAAATTATTGCTGTATTTTGAAGATTAAATTAAGAGTTTAACCAAGGAGGTCAATTCCGTAAACTGAACGTTACTTGCTGGTGATTGTGAACCCTACTTGTGAGTTTACGAATTTTATCTGTACCCTGACTTGTGAGTATTTTAAAAGATTTAATGGAGAGAAAGTATATCATTTAACGTATTTATATGTTATTGACAGGCAAAATGGAAGAATTCAGTTGTCTTAATTGCCCCCTTTCTCTTAAAAAAATCGGAAACACTATTTTCACAATTATGACATAAGAACAAAAGCTTAAAATAACAATTTCTCAGTTTGACAACAATAACATAAACATTAAAATCATACCCCAAAGACGTAAGAATTATTTCAAAAGAATTGAAAAAAAAAATAAAAAAAAGGACTTGTAAAGCAAATGATATTACAAAAACAGTAAAAGTTTCAAGACAAGAAGGACTTGAAAAATAATCTCCAACCAAGAAATGTCAAAAAATCAAAACGCCTTTTAAAGATGTTCACACATCGACCAAAGATACGTTTTTTAGTACAGCTGACTAAAAGTTTAAGTTTAAACTTGGAGTCAAATTATTCCACAGATCCCACATTTAAGTTGTGTTTTCAGGGGAGTGTTTGTTACACAGAAGCAACTGTCAAGACCCTCAACTACAAATGATTCACCCAAATCCACCTGAAATACATGTATATGGCAATTTATAGATATATATATCTTTTGACTTAAGATCACTTATGATAGCCAATGATAAACTTTTCAAATTGTGTGAAAAGAAAACTAACAGGTTGTCGTAGACAATGGCAAGACTGTTAACTATTTAAAAATAAGTGGAAATAAACTTGCAAGAGTGAAAACTACCTTTTACACATTTAACAACAATATGCAGGAAACTCTTTAAAATGATTTATTATGAGTGATCCTAGTCGCGCATGTAAGAAATAGAAATTCAAGGCATTTATGAGAATATAAAACCGTGTTTCAAAAAGCATAATGAAATAAACGGTGCGTGTAAAGCTTTCATGTTAAATACAAAATGTAAGTAATCTTGTGATGATCTTTCGAGGAGGATGGATTAATTTCTGACGTTATATAACGGTCGCGTCAAGACTAACAACAATGCCGTTGAACTTAAAAGTAGAAACGTTTATAGTACTTATGTTACATCTTAGCTTTATATCTTTTCAAAGAAAAATGAATAGCAAATGAAGATAAGACTTGTTGGTCAAGAAATAATTTTCTTTCTAATTCGTATTACCAGCTACTTCATGCTTGTATTTCCATGGAAAGTGAAAACATGATGAAGGTCCATTCATGTGCAGTATTGGCTACTTATATAGAACTAAAAGATGTGTCATGCTCTTGTGACACAATAACTTCATATTATGCAAGATATAATTTGGAACATAGGACAAAAAAAATTAAAAATCATCAAAAGTGACTCGCAAGTTATGGTTCAGTGAAAACACAAGTAGGGTACAGATCATTAAAATTGTTTTAGCAAGACGGGTACAGTTATCAGAATGTTCGCCTCTATTACTTACTGTGTTTTTAGCTCACCTGTCACAAAGTGACATGGTGAGCTTTTGTGATCGCTTTTCGTCCGGCGTCCGTCCGTCGTCCGTCCGTCCGTCCGTAAACTTTTACTTTAAATGACATCTCCTCATAAACCACTAAGCCAATTTCATCCAAACTTCACAGGAATGTTCCTTTGGTGGTCACCTTTAAAAATTGTTCAAAGAATTTAATTCCATGCAGAACTCTGGTTGCCATGGCAACCGAAAGAAAAAACTTTAAATATCTTCTTTTAAAAAACCATAAGAGCTAGAGCTTAGATATTTGGCATGAAACATCTTCTAGTGAGTGTCTACCAAGTTTGTTCAAATAAAAGCCCTGGGGTCAAAATTGGCCCCGCCCCGGGGGTCATTGATTTTCCCTATATACATATAGTAAAAACTTAAAAAATCTTCTTTTAAAGAACTCAAAGAGCTATGGCTAAGATATTTAGCATCAAACATGTTCTAATAGGTGTCTACCAAGTTTGTTCAAATAAAAGCCCTGGGGTCAAAATTGGCACCACCCCGGGGGTCATTGATTTTCCTTATATGTGTATAGCAAAAACTTAAAAATCTTCTTTGAAAAAACCCAAATAGCTAGAGTTAAGATATTAAGCATGAAACATCTTTTAGTGAGTGTCTACAAAGTTTGTTCAAATAAAAGACCTGGGGTCAAAATTGGCCCCGCCCCGGGGGTCATTGATTTTCTTTATATGTGTATAGCAAAAACTTAAAACTCTTCTTTGAAAAAAACCCAAGTAGCTTGAGTTTAGATATTAAGCATGAAACATCTTCTAGTAAGTGTCTACAAAGTTTGTTCAAATAAAAGCCCTGGGGTCAAAACTGGCCCGGCCCCAGGGGTGTCATTGTTTTTAACTATATGTGTATAGTAAAAACTTTAAAAAAATCTTCTTTCAATAAAGCCCAATGAGCTAGAGCTTAGATGTTTAGCATGAAACATCCTCTTATGGGTGTCTACCGAGTTTGTGCAAATAAAAGCCCTTGGGTTAAATTGGCCCTGCAACGTTGAGGGGGTGCGGGTTGGGCGGCCTATATACAGGTGAGCGACCTCAGGGCCATCATGGCCCTCTTGTTATCAATATTCAAAGATATCCACACAAGTGTCTGTGCGGTAAGACAAGTTTAGACAATAAAGTTAAGATTCAGATACGAGTTATAGTGAAATAAAACAATTTTAGGCATAAATTTGCTTGTGTAATCGGCGTGTGTTGACATAGACAAAACACGAAGCGAAGAGCAAAGCGTTTTATGCGCATTAATTTAAAGAAGCTGGATATAAATGTATCTATAAGCAAAGAAAAAATATTTCTTAATATGATTCAAATGTTTTCATACCGTCTCAGATTAAATGCAAACCGTCATAAAAAGTTGTATTGGTCACCCCGCCTGTTTGTACTGAACTGATGTTGAGATCTTCTCCCAAGATCCGGTTGGGGTACAAATCGTTTATATACTGTGCTACAAGGCTTAGCCTTGAAACATTAAACTGGACTTAGTCCTAAATACAAGCGTTTACGTTTATTGTAATCGACCTCTTGTAAAATATATCATAAACATAATCTTAATTAATTAAGTAATATAAAACTATATATAATTTTATTAGTATACTTATTAAATTTGTTAGGGCTTTTCATATATTAAAAGCATTGATTGAAATTGTATTTACTAGCTGTTGTTGTTAAGTCCATCATCTTTATTTAGATATACTTATATAAGTCTACTGAGCCCTGAGAATTTATTCTAGTTATAATTTGTGATCGTTTGGTCTCCGTGTAAGCATTGATTCTCATTAGAACCTGACAATTATTACACATGATATAATATAATCTACATGCATGTGTATGTTGAAAAGTTAATTGATTTCAAATCAATTTACTACATGCGTAGGACATATATTTTCTGTAGCGTGATGAATTATTATAATCAAATTGACAAATGAACCAGTTATGGAGGAAGGATCCAAGAAATAAATGTTAGTTTGTATTTCAGGGGAGGATCACGCTTCAATTAATTCTTTGTGTGAAGCCATTTTCAACATCAATCTCTGCTATTTTTTCAGCTAGACTTTAAAGAAAACTTTGTTGTGTGTATAATTCTAAATGTATTACGCTTGTGAACAGGCAAATTTTAAAAAGAAACACATCCTCAGTTCCATTTTATACAGATGAATACTAAATTATGTGGAAATAAATTTTATTTCATTTAAATCAAGTGCGTATATGATCAAGTGCGTATATGACTTTTTCATGCTTTTCATAAGATAAGTTGTCGTTTTCGTTTATTTTTCTTTTGTAATAACATCATCTGTATAACATGAATGTGTGCTATTTATCACAATGCTAGATATTAAACAGTTTATTAAGCATCAACAAAATGCCGCTTTGTTATTAATAACTACACATAACTAATTTGTATCAGTTACATAAACATTGCAGAGTAGCCACCCTAAGTTGAAAGAAGAGAAAACTTTTATCCAACATATTTTAATTTGGATTCAGAGCCATCAAAACATAAATTTCATTTTTAGTGCATTTATATGGGAATAGATTATTAATACATGTCTTGTCCGAAGAAAAATAAGTTTTTGCTTTATTTATGATGCTGTAATTTTTAACTGTTAAATGTTTTTTTTTATATTAAAATTGCGTTTTGCGCTCTTGTTGATACAGTCAAATATCGTTATCTCGACTTCGCTTTTCTCGATATTTCGTTATCTCGATGAAATTTTGAAAGTTTCGATTTTCTTCCTTCTTTATCTATATTGGAAATATTTGTTTATCTCGATATTTTTATTTCGATATTTTCAGTATCTCGATGTACAATTTCAGCCCCGACAGTTATTTTCACACTATTATCCTTTGTTTATCTCGAGTTATAGTTTTCTTTCGTCTTTTCCCTTCAGACGTGTGAAAAAGACAAACTAGACGAAAATTGCTCAATAGCGCTTGCCATAATGATGATTATGTTTGTAAGATGTTTAGCTGTTTTTATCGGTTTTAATTTATTTAGGGTGTTGATTGACTTATGTCCAAAATGAGTGAAATTTACAAATTCTTCAAAATTCATTAAAACCAAACATATTTTTTTCTATGGCCTACGCTTTTACAGTAACAAAAAGTGGGAAAGGGGAGGTTTTTCTTTCAAAAGCAATGTAGCGTGTACGGTTTGATAATTCCATGTAGTGCATGCCAGCCTGGGCTCCAGTCTGTCTATTTTAATGCTTCTGTTCGACTTTATCAAAACACAATCGAGTATGTAATAGCGCTTATGTTATGAATAAGCAAAAAAATATCAACGCATGAATCCCAGGCTAAGTACATGCCCATTGAAAAAAAGAAGAAAGAAAAACAAAATACATCCCGAAACAAACATCTGGCTTCACTTAAACATTCATGTATATCCACTAAATTATACGGCAACTTCAAGTGGAGTTACTTATACCACTTGAAATCAAAAGCTTGTGAAGGACATCTTATGAACCTTACAGAAAGTTCGTAAACAACTCGACGGCTTGAAATACGAGGGTAAAACATAAGGCCGGGCCTCTTTTAACATTTTTTACCTGTTACACTTGTTAAAGAGACGCTAGATGTCCTACCTTGCCCTCTTCAGGCTAGTTTATGTATATACATAGAGTTACATTAATTGTATTATATACACATTAAACAAAAATTTGGAATCCCTTGATTATAGGTATTAAAGACGTTTGTCAGTTCAAAAAATAAGCATGTGATGCTTCTTTGGTCAGTTATTTTGAGAAAATATCACTGGTTTATTTATTTGACATAATTTTGTCAGAAACTGTTGTAAATATAGAAAATATTGCATTTGTCTGCTCTGTGTCAATCAATGTGAAAACCATTTTGCATTGATAATATCTCTGCTTTTCAGGTCCGTACAAAAACCGGTTCATTTTAATCTATAAGCATGCCAAAGTTGAAACTAAATTGGAATACATATTTAAAATTTAATCTGATTAAAAGTCTACGCAGACAGGTGCTTTATGCAAAAATAATAAATAAACTTATATTTTACATTTGGCCTTTTTTTCTTCCTTGCATGAACATCTAGATTTATTTTCATAAATAAAGCGCAAAATATATATTCTAAGAAATAAGATAAACCATTCGGACTTTTTGACGATTTTTCGTTTAATCTGTAAGAAAAACTATGTCACTTACGTTTGTAAAAGCTTCTTTGTTCTTACTTTTAATAAGAAAGTGTTCATTGTTTAGTTTTGAGTATGCCTTACAAAAAGTTGATAGTTTTGAAGCTAGAGTGGTTGCTCTGGAGACGGCGGATAGTTTAAGGCGTCTTGAAATCGATGAGATATTTGTTCAATTTTCTGAATTCACCAAGAAATTGAGAGCAATGAACATGTCATTAATTTCGACAAGTTCAAACGTGGATGTAAACAATGGTAATACTTCAGGTGTGATTACAGATGGACACTCACTTAGTTACCTGGTTAAAGGAATGGCTGCAGAGAAACTGTTGAGCTACAAGAACAAAAAGAAATTTAAGAGATTGATACGTTCCTTACGAAATGTATTTAGCGACCACGAGAATAAGTTTGAAGAGATGACGAAAATGTTAAAAAGTGAAATTGATCAAAATAGAGACAATCTGATAAATGGCCAAGCTTTATTGGCAGACACATGTGATACCATAAAAGAAGGTTGTAGAAATGAAATGGCCTCGTTAAAAGCTGAATTTGAGCAAATAAAGAACGAAATAGAATTGTTAAAAGACGTAACAAAGAATCATCGGGCTATCGAGATAGAATCATGCGTAGATTTATTAGGTCAGGAACAGTTCGTTAGTGGTACTTATGAGCTCCAAAATGGTCTGAAAGTTTATTGTGACCAAACTACTGATGGGGGAGGTTGGATAGTTTTTCAGCGTCGTGAAGATGGAAGTATCAATTTTGAACGCACATGGGATAACTACAAAGATGGATTTGGAGATTTATTGCACGAGTTTTGGATAGGAAACGATAATTTACATGTCCTTACAGAACATGGTAACCACGAGTTACGTATAGATATGGAGGATTTTGAAGGTAATAAGGCTTATGCTAAGTACAGTCATTTCAAAGTTCATGGAGAAGTTGATAAGTTCAGGCTTGAAGTGAGTGAGTATAGTGGAAATGCTGGCGATTCTCTCATCAATCATAACAAAGCGGCGTTTTCTACACTTGACAGGGACAATGATCCAGACAATGACCATTGCGCTAAAAAGTTCAAAGGTGCATGGTGGTATTTTGCAGGCTGTCACTATTCAAATCTCAACGGATTTTACTACCAGGGGTCGGATTCCCCATTTGGTAAAGGTGTAATATGGTATCATTGGAAACAATCATTTAGGTATTCCCTAAAATTTGTCGAAATGAAGCTCCGGTCAACTTAATCTTATGGATGTTTTGTATTAGAATCGAGATTCATAAAATTTGGAATAATACAACTGCACATCTTCGCATGTACACATGTTTAACAAATAAATGTTTTCTACAAATACATTTTTGCAATGTGTTAATGCAAACAAGCATTTAGGGTAAATGCAACATACTGTACCTAGTTGTGAAAGACAGTGAAACTAGTTATGAAAAAAAAACAGTGTACAATTACACGATTAAATAAATGCATGAATTCATTCAGTTGTTTTTTTTTTTTTTCATTATTTCATAGAGCGATAATGGGAGCAATTCATTGGAATACTTAATGTATATAATGCCTTACATTTAGATAAATATCTGGTAAGATAAAATATAAACTATAAAAAATGCAATATGATGTAACATTAAATAAAAAACGCTATTAAAGTCCAAATTAACGAAGGCAATTACATGTTAGTGTCGAGGAATAATTTACGTTAACAGTGTATTACAAGTAAATGTAAGCGTCTCGCAATAATTTGAATGCACTAATTGGAACTCGTTGCATATTTATCATTATAATTTGCTTCACTTTATTCCCCTATTAAACAGTCCTGTCACTCGAGTGCATATTATTTCTAGGAAAATATGCTCAGAATAAATAAGGGATGCCTACATTTCATACGAAATAATAAATTCTTACAATCTTCATGTTTAAGATGAAATCGTGAAGAATAGATTATGGTGTCGAAAACTAATCGTCACTTTAAATCATATGTTGATTTCAACTCTTACTAATTATTCAGTCGCACAAAAAAGAACATTATGCTGGTGATGACCAATATAGAATGAATAATGGAATATTTGAAAGGTTGATCACCTATAAAGGGTGTCAGCATATATTTGGCGATGACTACTACATGTGTATAATCACCCGGTGGTATAATATATAAAGCAGCTATATGATATACATGTATATCAAACTACCGTTTATACACGGACGTATTTGCTGTTTAATACGACTTCATTATGCTTCTTATCCTTCTTTTCAAATCAAAAAGATAATTCACGAAAAGTACTGTTTCGTTTCCATACGATGCAAATACATATTTTGTAAATTGTAGCTATTCATTGTAATGAATTGAAGGTACGTTATGCCTCAGGAACGAATGAATATTTCGTTCTGTAAAAATGGCAAATAGGAGTTTTATAATGTTTGGGGCATGTTAGATGCATATCACCTGAAGAAAATAGTGTTGCGTCATAAAAGTAACAAAATGTAAACAAAGTAGTATTTTGACTTGTATTCAAAATACTAAATCGATATATCTGTACTTATTGCTAAAAGCAACAGAAGAAAACGATGGCTCGGTTAAAAGCCAATGAGTAACTTTCTGGAAATATAACCGGACGTTAAAAAACAAACAAACAACAACAAGCTTTTGAAAAATAAAGATTTAAGTATTTCTGAGGCATAATAGACATTCATTGTTTTAGAGATGGCTACATAACCTAACGAGTGATTTTATTTCAAGTTACTATGCTTCCTTACTTATAAATGATTGATAATTGAACCACAATGTTGTTACATATTTTGTTATTTGCTCATACGAAAATAAATCATTAAATAACTGACAAATGTTATAAGACCTTGTTTCTAGGACAGAATACCTTAAAATAAAATAATGAGATTTGCATTGTTCCAATGTTTCTACATAAACTTCAGTAGAAGAAATAACAGATCATTGTCTTTGGTTGTTGAATTCATAGAACTTACAATGCTGATTATTTACATAGCGACAGATGGTTATTTTTGCCCCATTGTAGCATGTGCGGTGGCATAGAGGGGACATATGACATATTTTATCTATCACGTGGGCACGCGATAGCTATTACATACGCACGCGAAAGCTACTGTATAGGGGCACGAGATAGCCCCTACGTTGGTCAATCATTACGTGCGCATGTGAGAGCTATCGCGTGCGCACGTAGTAGCTATCGCGTGCGCACATGGTAGATAAAATATCTCTGAAGGCCCCTTTTTGCCACCGTATGCATGTCCTCATCTAGCAAAATCTGTTTAACAATTTGCTAATCTCCTTACAGTAAATGAGGGCTTTGTGAGGGCATTGTGGTCTGTACAGTTGGGCAAAGTGGTCTGGCGTGTACAATGTAAAGTCCTCTAGTGTAAATAGTATAAGTGCTTTGTAATAGCAGGAATATTAGAAATAATATATATTCTATTTACATTATATGTATAATCGGTTAAGTAACACGATGATTATAAAGGCTATTTTGTAAGTTTCAAATCATACACTGGTCTTACTTGTATCAAGTTTGAAGCATTATATGCGTTCAAAGTATAGTTTAAAAGTAACATTTGTTTTGTTTTGTTTGTATAATTTCAATATTTTGTGCCATATTACTATTGCAATAAATCAAAACCATATAGCTTAGATTAGTAAATGTACTACAAAGACCAGTGTATGGAAGATAATTTCCATTCATGTTTTAAAATATACTATGTAATAGATGCTGACAATGTCTCTCCTGAGATTGCAAGTGTAATACATACACGAAGTATTTCTTAATATTATATATTTGAATGTAGAATCTCTAAAAAAGTAAATAACTTGTAAATTAAATATTTAATCAATGGTAACCATTAATAATGAAAGAAAAGAAATACTTGCAGTCACGTCATCTTGCTATGTAATTAGTTATTTACTTATGCATACATGTAATTGTATATATCATGAATGCTTATACATGACTCTTTTGAGAGTTAATTTTCAAAATAAAGATTCTTCTTCTTATTATTATTATTCTTCTATATTCCGTTTAATTTGAAGGTGCGGACGGTATTGCTGTCTGATCATTTCTTGCAAATAATTCTTCATCTTTAAATAAATTTAGAATTATGTTGATTCGTTTTATTTACGCCATGTGATCATCCTTTTTCGAAAGGGCTTGGCTCACTAAAACCATAATAGTGCCCTTAAATTTGGAAAAAAGTAAAATGGCTTCACCATATCAAATGCGTTTATTTTTATGCACACCTACCCTAGATATGTCATTTGCAAATATGTAGCCCATGTTGATTTTATATTATTACTTCATACCAAAATAATAATCTCTTGTTGGGAAATTCTGTGATATGAGAAAATCCCCCCCCCTCCTCCCCACAAAAAAAGGTATAAAATAAATAAATAATATTTTTTTCAATACATCAATCACCAATTTTCAACAATTTTTATTAAAAAGTAAAAACGTCCATGAATGTATTTGTTTACACTATGTCCGAACGTGTTCACGAACAAACCAATATTTTTCGAAATGTGTGAGTACGGGTTGAGTACGGTGGATCAAAAGTCTTACAGTGAATTTACTAGATTTCTATTTATTACTTTTTCTTTCTCAGTTATCATATGAAATCAAGAAAGATAACTAATTTAGAAACATTCCAGACTTATGATTGTGTTACTTCCCTTTAATTGTTATTTTGGTGGTTTCTCTCACGATTTCTTGTGCAAATAAAATAAATATAAAAGCTAGAATCTTGTTCGCAATATAACATACATATATAATTGATTGTGAGATAATTATTGAAATCCATAGCCGAATGGTTAGGATTGTTTTTCAGTCCCAGCGAAATTGTTTGAATCTAAAATCGACACTTTGGTCAACTTATCGTGATAATATAGATCTAAATTCATTTTGAAATAATGTTATGACACATATGAAGAATGAATTTTTTTTACATGTTTGTATGACAAAATCTCTGTTGAACATGGGGTTTATGGTCATTTTAATTCCCAAGTTGAACGTGGACTATTCTATGATAATATCGACAAAAGGAATTTTCACTGGAAATCAGTGACATCAGAAATTCACTGACATCAAGCGCTCTAGGCTGCGTATATTTTACAATATGGCAAATTTAGATTTCAAAATACGCAAAAATCGTCATGAACCATATATTTGACGTTGTAAGTAAAAATGACTTATTTATACGATATTTATAATTGCAATCACAATTCAAACGTCACATGTTAATGAAATACTCCCGTTAAAACTATATCGTCGGAATGTCGATAATCGATCAATAAAAAAAATGTCAAAAGTAAGACAAGAAACTGTTTAAAACGTAGAAAAAGATTGTGGCTATCAAGGGAAAAGTTCCAGAAAGCCACAGCATAGTTTTTATTAGCAGAAAGAATTTAGAAAGGGTAATATAGAAATAGAAAACAAGTAAGGGAGAGACAGAAAAAATAAATGTTTAAGGACGTTGGTGACGTCAATCGCCAAGACATTGAAAAATGACATTGTCAACGATGTTCGACAGTAGCTACGGGACGGTGCAGTCTTGGTTTTACATAAGGTAAATATTCTATAAAGGGAGGTAATAAATATTTATTACCTCCCTTTATAGAATATTTACCCTATGTATTTTTGTAGCAATTCAATACTTCTTATAGAGACAGTAAAAGAAAATTTCATTTCCAGCGCAACGTCGTATTTTTACGTTTCCCGCACTTTTATAACGTTACGTCATTGTTATATTTGTTATGATTATATTATACGTTACTGTCTGAAGATATGTGAAAACATTTGAAAGCGCTAATAGAAATAAACGTATAAAAAATTAACGAACTTTGTACTCTGCATTTCCCAAAACATACTTTTTTATACATGAGATCCACACAAGGAATCGAACTTCTTTATATATATATATTGTTTCAAACATTCAAACACCAAATAAACACGTTTCTCTGATGTCAATGTAAGAAAAGGTTTGCACGCAATAAAAAGTGTGTTATATCAAGTTAAACCCTCAAAACAGACATTAATGCTTGGTCGTTTTGTGCAAGTATCATTCATACGATGCGATGGCGGTGTATAAAAAGAGTATGAGCCACTGCATTTGACAATTTATCACCCGGCATATGTGTTCAATAGATAAAACCGGATTCCAAAATGTATATTTGTAATTGGAACATGTGGTGACTCATATCTAAATTTTAACTGAAAGCACACTGGTAATGCCCGTTAAACTCAATATATCATATCACAATTTAGACATTAGTTTAAGTATAAATAAATAAATAATATTTTTTCAATACATCAATCACCAATTTTCAACAATGCATATTAAAAAGTAAAAACTTCAGTGAATGTATTTGTTTACACTATGTCCGAACGATTTACAAGAACAAACAAATATTTTTCGAAATGGGTTGATTACGGTGGATCAAAAGTCTTACACTGATTATTAGATTTCTATTTATAATTATTATCAATTTAATATAAAAATGTTGTTTCTCGGGTATCATAGTGTAATGAAATCAAGAAAGATAACTTATTTAGAAACATTCCAGTCTAGTGATTGTGTTACTTCCCTTTAATTGTTATTTTGCTAGCTTCTCACATAACAAACATCTGATAAAAGCGCAATATAACATACATATATAAATGACTGTGAATCCATAGACGAATGGTTAGGATTGTTTTTCAGTCCCAGCGAAAGTGTTTGAATCTAAAATCGACATTTTGGTCAACTTATCATGATAATAGATCTAAATTCATTTTGAAATAATGTTATGACACATATGAAGAATGAAAATCTTTTTTTACATGTTTGTATGACAAAATCTCGTTTGAACATGGAGTTTACGGTCATTTTAATTCCCAAGTTGAACGTGGACTATTCTATGATATTATCGACAAAAGGAATTTTCACTGGAAGTAAAATGGAAGCGGGACTCCGACATCTATTTGTATATATATAATCACCAAATAAAGACGTTTCTCTGATGTCAATGTAAGAAAAGGTTTGTACGCAATTAAAACGTGCGTTATGTCAAGTTAAACCCTTAAAATAGACATTAATGCTTGGTCGTTTTGTGCCAGTATCATTCATACGATGAGATGGCGGTATATATTTATATTTATTATTTATGCAATAAAATACTGGTTAAAAATTTTAAAAATGTCAGAAAATAGAATTGTCAAGAAATGTTATAAGATGATGTTAAATGATGATTTTTACGGAAATGTTAATTGGGTTACATCTGTAAAAAAATGTTTACAAAACTACGATTTTAGCTATGTGTGGTATGACCAAGATGTACAATATGAAAACTATTTTTTGAGAAATTTTGAAAATAGACTAAAAGATACAAGTCTACAGGAGTGGAATGAAAGTTTAAATACAAATTCAAAGTTGCAACTATATAAAACCTTCAAAAGGGAATTTATATTTGAAAGATATATTGATATTCTTAATCTCAGGAAGTTTCGGTATACATATGTAAATTTTAGAATTGGTAGTCATGATCTGGAAATTGAAAAAGGGAGATATAATAATACAATAAGAGAAAATAGAATATGCAAATTATGTGATACTAATACTGTGGAGGATGAATATCATTTCTTGTTAAACTGTAATTATTATTCTGATTTACGTGCAGCATACATACCTTTGAAATATTTTACTCAACCAAATATTAATAAATTTAATATCATCATGTCAACTAAAAATGAAGAACTTATAAAATCTGTTGCAATGTATTTATATTATGCATTTGAAAGAAGAAAACGATATATACAAGAATTGTAAATATTACCTATTATCATACACATGCTATGCTTTATTAAAATGTTTGTAATTGTATATATTCTTTGCATGGGCCGGAGGCCTTACAGCGAATAAAAGTTTGTTGTTGTTGTTATAGGGGACGTTTTGTCACATTTGTACGTGTTTTATGCTTTAACCAAAATTAGACTAAAGTGCTCTCCCACGGCCACCCCGGTCAAACTGTATAGAAGTGTCTGCATAAAAGGCAATGAACTACACAGTAATAAGTTGGAAAAGTACATAATGTGGCATCCTGCCTCACTTGGTGTAAAGAAAAATTCAAACGACAGCAAACGGATTTAAATTTAATTCAAATTCCAAATAAAATGTATATTTGTCATTCCATGTAGCTAAATATAGATAAGTATATATATCTGTGGTCACAAGCATGACACGTTAAATGACAGTCAACATACTGACCAATCATAATGTTAGCACCTGCTTTAATTCCTCAAAGGTACTTATCTAACAAGACTTCAAATTGCCGAGCATTTAATGTTGCTGGGTTGCTGGCATCAAATCACTTGCCTTTTTTGTTCTATTAATGTGAGGGGCTTTGTTTGTTTTACTCAAAAAACATATCCAGTACTGCGATGCCTGCTCATGCACTGAAACTACAAAATATATGTTTTAAATACAATCTGCGTCCACATATTTTCACTTACTATTTATTTCGAATTTCATAAAGACCCTGTAACGCAATTATTTATGATTTTATATCAAAAATCTGATGCTCAGATGAAATTTTTATCAATATTACCGTATTTAACATTTCATGTAAATAAAGGGAGGTAATTAGAAATTTATTAACGATTAATTTTAATTTAATTATAATGCATATAAACATTTGCTTTATATATTTAACATATTTTTGAATGTTTTAAAATTGTTTTAGAAGAATAATTATATGAAAATATATAAAACTTCACTTAACTGTATGTTACATCCTTAATTACAACATACAGGGGCTTTAATATGGGGAAAAAACCACAAAAACATGACAATTAAGATTTTATGTATGATCATTTTATTTTGGTTATAATTTATTTCTACACCTCTTCTTTTGTCACTTTTTGTAATTGCGCAATCAAAGAGGCCGTACTCGCAGCTAGGACACAAATCGGACAGAATGGATACTTAAGACTAGATTCCCCAGCAACCGTTAAAAAAATTCAAGAAGCATGCGGAAAGCAAATTTAATTATTGAATGATTATTGATATTGATATTCATATTGATTTAGTGTTTGTGATTGAATGTTACGTTAAATATATTAAATATGAATTGCTTGCCCACAGAATATAACTACCTGTGTATATTATTATTTCATGATTTAATAAATCCAGGCCCGGATCCACCGGGGGGGCTTAAGAGGCTGAAGCCCCCCCCCCCGGCATCTAAGCCTGAAAAAACATGTTTATGTTGACAAAGTGGATTGATTTTAAGTCAATTTACTACATGCATAAGACATACATTTTCAGTTTGATAGCGAGATGAACGATTATAATCAAAATGACATACATTTTCAGTTTGATAGCGAGATGAACGATTATAATCAAAATGACAAATATATCAGTCGTGGAGTTAAGGATCCCAGAAACAAGTGTTAGTTTGTATTTCATGAGATAGAATCACGCTTCAAAAAATTCTTTGAGAGAAGCCATTTTCAACATCAATCTCTGCTATTGTTTTTCAGCTAGACTTTGAAGGAAACAATATGTTGTGTGTATAATTCTAATTACTGTGTTTCTTTTTAAAATATGCCTGTTAAAAAGCGTAATACAAATATATATACTCATTTATATATATAAGCGTACATATATAATTATGCATTACGCTTGTGAACGAGCATATTTTAAAAAGAAACACATCCTCAGCTTCAGTTTATACAGATAAATACCTGAATAATATGAATGTGTGCTATTTGTCACAGTAGACAGATATCAAACAGTTTGATAAGTATTAATTTTCCTGCATGAACAAAATGCCACTTTATACTTTATTATGGATAACTAACAATGAACATTTGTATCCGTTACATAATTGTAGAGTAGTCTCCCTTTATTGAAAAGAAGAAAAAAAGGTCAAACTTCTTAAAGCTATTATTATTATCACAATCAGATGTCATCATTTTCTTCAAATCCACATCATTAGACAAATTACTGAACATTTAATGCCAGAGAACGGACATGCTTGTTTTAAATTTGGTTGCAAATTATTAGCATCACAATCCATGTGTAAAGGAAAGTTTTGTTTTACAGTTTGTTTATGCGTTTTTATTCATTTAGAAAAGTGGTGAAGGAATTGCGTTGACACTTTTAAATTAGGAAAGAATAAAACGTAAAATAAAGAGTAACATTGTTCTTGAGTTAATGTTGAATATATCACCCTTAAGAAGTTAAAATTGTGTTTTGCGCTCTTGTTGATATTACAAATTCATCTGAATAAAATACATTCCATATTCATTAAAACCAAATCTATATTTGGTATGGCCTACGCGTTTGCAGGAAAAACGTAGAAAATGGGAGGTATTTCTAGCGTACATGGTTTGATACATTCTATAGAGTGCATGCCTATTGAAAAGAAGAAGGAGGAAAAACAAAATACAGCCCGAAACAAATAGCGTGCGACACTTTAACATTCATTTATATTTCCTTAAATATATGGCAACTGCAAGTAGAGTTACTTATTCCACTTAAAATTAATAGCTTGTGAAGGACATCTTATGAACTTTAAAGAATTTTCGTAAACAACTCGACGGTGTAAAACTAAAAAAGGCCGGGCCTCTTAAACATTTTTGTCATGTTTCACTTGTGAAAGAGGCGCAATATGTCCTACCTTGCCTTTTTCAGGCACGTTCAAGCGTGTACATAGAGTTATATTTACTATATTATATACACATTAAACAAAAATGGAATCCCTCGATTAGGTATTAAAGACTTTTATAAGTTCAGAAAATAGGCATATGATGCTTCATAAGCCAGTTATTTAATTGACATAATGTTGTCAGAATTTTTGTAAATACATGTATAGAAAATAATGCATTTTGTCTGCTTGTGTCAATCAATGTGAAAACGATTTTTGCAAAAAGGCGCATTGATAATGTCCCTGTTTTTCAGTTCTCTACAAAAACCGTTTCATTTTAATTTATAGGCATGCCAAAGTTGAAACTAAAACAAAGTTTCAAAATAGGAATACATATTTTGAAATTTAATCTGATTAAAATTCTGAGCAAATAAGTTTAGATATGCATCTTTTGTTTGGTGTTTTATGCAAATAAATGGTACAATATAATAAATAAACTAATATTTTAGATTTGGCCTTTTTTATTGTACCAGTGCACAGAAAATTATTAGGCCATGCGTGGGCAAAAATCTACTTAATAAACTGTTTGAGATAAATCAAGCACCCGGAGAAGAAACGGCTGAAATTTATTTCATTTAGTTTTATTTTCATAAATAAAGCGCAAAACATATTCTAAGAAATAAGATAAACTAATCGGACTTTTTTTGACGATTTTACAAGTAAGAAAAACTATGTCACTTACGTTTGTAAAAGTTTCTTTGTTCTTACTTTTTATAAGACAGTGTTCATTGTTTAGTTTTGAGTATGCCTTAAAAAAAGTTGATAGTTTTGAAGCTAGAGTGGTTGCTCTGGAGACGGCGGATAGATTAAAGCGTCTTGAAATCGATGAGATTTATGTTCAGTTTTCTGAATTCGACAAGAAATTGAGAGCAATGAACGTGTCATTAATTTCGGCAAATATAAGTAAGGACGTAAAAAACTGTAATAATTCAGTTGTTAGTACAGATGGACATTCAGCTAGTAACCTGGTTAAAGGAATGGCTGCGGAGAAGCTGATGAGCTACAAGAAGAGAACGAATCTTGAGAGATTTATAAGTTACTTACAAAATGTATTTAGCGACCGCAAAAATAAATTTGAACAGATGACAAAAATGTTAAAGAGTGAAATTGATCAAAATAGAGAAAATCTGATAAATGGACAAGCTTTATTGGCAGACACATGTGATGCCATAAAAGAAGGTTATAGAAATGAAATGGCCTCTTTAAAGGCTGAATTTGAGAATTCACAGAAGGAAATGAAGAATCTAGAGAGGTTGATAAGTTCCTTAAAAAATGTATTTAGCGACCACGAGAATAAGTTTGAAGAGATGACAAAAATGTTAAAAAGTGAAATTGATCAAAACAGAGAAAATCTGAAAAATGGCCAAGCTTTACTTGCAGACACATGTAAAACAGTAAAAGAAGGATATAGAAATGAAATGGACTCTTTAAAGGCTGAATTTGAGCATTCACAGAAGGAAATGAAGAACGAAACAAACTTTTTAAAAGACGTAACAAAAAATCAAAGGGCTATCAAGATAAAATCATGCGTAGATTTATTAAGTCAAAAACAGTTCGCGATCGTAAGTGGCATTTATGAGCTCCATAATGGTCTGAAAGTTTATTGTGACCAAACTACTGATGGGGGAGGTTGGATAGTTTTTCAGCGTCGTGAAGATGGAAGTGTCAATTTTGAACGCACATGGAATAACTACAAAGCTGGATTTGGAGATTTATTGCACGAGTTTTGGCTAGGAAACGATAATTTACAAGTCCTTACAGAACATGGTAACCACGAGTTACGTATAGATATGGAGGACTTTGAAGGTAATAAGGCTTATGCTAAGTACAGCCATTTCAAAGTTTATAGAGAAGTTGCTAAGTACAGGCTTATAGTGAGTGGGTATAGTGGAAATGCTGGCGATTCTCTCATCAAACATAACGGAAAGGCATTTTCTACAGTTGACAGGGATAATGAACAGTACCCTGGCAATTGCGCGAAGAGGTACAGAGGTGCATGGTGGTATCATTCAGGCTGTCACCATTCAAATCTCAACGGATTTTACTACCAGGGGTCGGGTTCACCACGTGGTAAAGGTGTAATATGGTATTATTGGAAAAAATCTCAAACATATTCCCTTAAATTTGTCGAGATGAAGCTCCGATCAACTTAATCTTATTCATGTTTTGTAATAGAATAGAGATTCATAGATATTGGAATAGTACAAAAATGTATACATCTTCGCCTGTACATGTGTCTAACTAATGAATGTTCACAAATACATTTTGCAATGTGTTAATGCAAACAATCACGCAGAGTTAATGCTACATAATGAAGCTAGTTCTGAAAAAAAGAGTACAAATACACGATTAAATAAATGCATTAACTCATTCAGTTGTACATTTTTGTATATCATAGAGGGCATCATAGGAGACATTCATTGGAATACTCTATAATGTCTTACATTTAGATGAATGCCTGGTAAAATAAAAACTATAAGAAGTGTAACGTGATGTAACATAATAAAACGATTAAATTTCAAATTAACAAAACCAATTAAAGTCGCAATAATTTGAATGTACTAATTAGAACTCGTTGCATATTTATCGTTCTAAGTCATTTCATAAATAAAGGAATGCTTACATTTCATAGGAACTTAATAAATTCATGAACTTCAAACATTCATGTTTAAGATAAAATCGAGTAAAAAGCTTCTTGTGTCGAAAAAGAATCGTCACTTTAAATCAATATGTTGGTTTCTGCTATTACTTAAAGCTTTAAGCAGGTGATGACCAATATAGAATGAGTTATGGAATATCTAAAAGATTCTATGATCAACTATAACAGTTGTCAGCGATAGCTACTACATGTATAACAATAAGTAGCAAACTAACGTTTATACAAAGACGTATTACCTTATGTTTTATGACGTCATTCCCTTTATGTATCAACTGAGGAAGCTGAATAAAGCGAAACATGTTTTGATACTTAAATTTGTGTAGGTTTTTGATCCAATTGTCTTATGTTTTATACGAATTCATTAGGCTTTGTTTCCTCTTATTAGATTAAAAGGATAATTGATTAAAAATACTATTTCCATGTAACGCTTATATATTTTTTTATTATAAATTGTGACTATTCCTTTTATATTAATTTTACATTCATTGTTAAATTGTTTTAAAGGTGTCTACAGATTGAATGTTAAGTTACATATAAATTGCGTGTCCGCGGAATGTAACTGGTGTACTTTATTGTTATTGTAAGATAAAATATAATCTTTTTGTAAAATTTTATTGTTTTGAAATCAATATACCGCATGCATATGACATAAATTTTCTGTTAGATAGCGTGATAAATGATTAAAGATTATCAAAATGACAAATATACCAGTCGTGGAGTAAGGATCCAAAAAGCAAATAGTAGTTTTTATTTCATAAGAGGATCACTCTTGAGAGAAGCTATTTTCAACATCAATCTCTGCTATTTTTTCGGCTAGACCTTGAAGAAAACTTTGAAGAAAACTTTGAAGAAAACAATATGTTGTGTGCATAATTCTACTTACTTGTATTACGCTTGTGAACAAGCATATTATTTTATCCTCAGCTTGTATTAAATGATGTGAAAATGAATTTTATTTTATTTAAATCAAGTGCTTATATTATCATGATTTCAGAACGGATAATGTATTATATGACTTCTTATGCTTTTTACTTCTCATAAGATTAGTTTTAGTTTTCGTTTATTTTTTGTTTTTGTAATAGCAACCTCTGTATAATATGCTATTTATCACAATGCTAGATATTAAACAGTTTATTAAGTATCAATTTTCCTCCATCAACAAAATGCCAGTTTGTTATGGATAACTAAACAAACAATGAATATTTGTATCAGTTACATGAATGCAGAGTAGCCTCCCTTAATTGAAAGAAGAGAAAACTGTCACACTATCCAACATATTGTAATTTGGGCATTTTTGAAATTCAAAGCCATCAAAAAATAAAATTCATTTAAAGTGCATTCATATGGGACTAGATTTTTAATATATGTCTGGCACGAAAAAGTGTAAAGTTTTTGCTTTATTTATGATGCTGTAATTTTGAACCGTTGAAACGTTTTTTTTTTGTAAATATTGACTTAAATTTTACACACACCCGCTAACAGATTGCAAGTGGATCGGTCGATTGCAGTAATCCGGTTAAAAACTGACATTTATATAATAAATTCTACCTGCATGAAGCTGTCTAACTCGCAACATGTTCACAGGTGTGATAAAAGGGTTGTTTTTTTTTGTCGATAAACAGAACTTTCGTCAGTTCTAAAAATACAGGCACAGTCCATTAAAAGATTAACACAGGTAAACATAGGTAAACTGCAAGTGATTAACCAAATAACTCGTTAAAAGTTATACAAATTATATTTTATGAGATATAACATTCGTTTGACTCTATAGCACAGTTAGTAAGACCGCTTATTAATATCAAAGTAAATTCAGCTAGTGGATTCGAAACCTGATGGAAACTGTATCATTTTTTATTAAAGTTTTAATTCTCTTTTTTCTTAATTACTAGTACTTTTTAATTGCTGACTTAATAAAATTTGATTACGCATATGAACTTAAAGATACTGTATTTTTGTCTCTCTTAAAATTTGTTAAAATATTTATACATTTATAATAAGAAATTAAAAAATATATATATAATAAGAAATCAGAGGGACGGATTTTCTGACCCGGACCACAAACATATATATCAGATATCTTTCTTGCATATTCTATTATTTTTTAAACTCTTAACCTTAAAAAAACAACAATTTTTATTGACATTTATGTCATTACACTCGTTAACTATTTTATTAGAACAGCGTATGAAATTACAACTTCATTCATAACGGCAATTACGTCATCCAAAGCGTGCCATTGTACAGCACGCGACTCATCTGGCACCCCACGCCAGATGAAATTTCTGGCATGAGTAAAAATAACGGAAACGCCAGTCTGATATGCAAGAAACTGGAATTAATGAGATGAATATACTTCGATTAAAAACGTACATAAATAAATCAATCAATCAAAATAACAACGCATTTTGTAGTTTTGTACTTAAAGGAGAAAATTGAAAAAAAAAACACGAACATTTTTGTTTTAAACATAGACTTCTGCCATTCAGTAGGTTCCTTCTGAGCTTAGCTCTATACCGATTGAGCTATTGCGACATTTGTTACATACTTTTACAATTATTAGTCAAATGCTTAATCAATAGGTTGTGCAACAATAAATTTACCTATATGGTCTTAACGTGGACTGTTCCGTACTATAAATAAATATGAAGAAACTTCTGTTTATCGTGCTCGGATTATACGTGAAAACTGTAAAATTTACTTCTGTGCACATTTAATAACTGTAAACAAATATGTTGATGTTTAAGACACGTTTTTGTGGGAGAGTAGCTTTACCACCTTAGTTATTTACTCTCGGACAATGGTGCAAATGGACGGACGGAATATTTGGCTTTTCCTTCTAGCATCTCCAAACAGGTGACATGACTCGAGTCTTTAGATTTCAGAATTGATACCATCGAAATATCTTATACAATTATAGAATGGACTAAGAAAACAGAGTTAGATAAATAATTCTAAAAGAGATAACTCCACTATGTCTTCTTTTAACGGTTCCCGATTTTCTCATCTTTCCAAGAAAAACACTATTTGCTACTTGATTTTTTATGCAAATGTAAAATTTAAAATCGTTTTGTCAAATTGCTATTAAACAGGGAACACGATCAAAAGAGATAGTTTAGTTGGTAAGATGTGATGCCTTAGTCACAAATACAATAATCCCCTCGTGACTTGACATTTCCAACGTAGTGGTGAAATGACGTCATCGTAGAAACTTTAAGTCAAAGTTGACGCCAATTATGTTTCATTATACGACACGCGTTTTTCCAATCAGAACGGTGCAGTTTTTTAAACAGTGTGCATATCAGTTGCATGTAAACAAAAAAAAACACAATTCCTTAGTGCACTAAATAAAATGATAAAATTGGTTACAACAATGATGACGGTTTTCGCAGTTTAAAGATATGGGTAGTAATGACCCATTTTTACAATACAAACTGCGCTGATAAACTTGTTCTGGTAACCTTGAACCTCTGACAAAATACTCGCCGAGTCGTATCAAATAAAAATAATCTAAAGGAAAATATGAGTTGATATATTCAAACGACACTTGGCTTATTGTCCTTGCAACAGAAAACACTTTCAGAGCTTACTTATTTGAAACAATTACAATAATTACATGTATTCTTTTGATTATTATTTAATTTCCAGTGTCCAGATGTGTTCCAAGTATTTCTCTTCATTGTAATATCTGATTTGTATATAAATTGAAATAAACACTTTAATGTAAATAGAACAAGGAAGATATCACATCACATGGATATCATTGTTGTTTATAACGGAAACTCAAAACAAGAGTATATAATTGAGAGACAAATGTGAAGTGTAGTGGATGTGTGCGTAAGACGCTTGAAGTTGTTGAAATCTTGTCATGCTTTATATAAAATTAAGGGGGAAAAACAAAATTTCCTTGAAATAACATCAATCTGCTGCTGCCATCATCTTCACATCATTAGACAAATAACTGAACAGTTAATGAGTCATTTATTTAGTCGGAAACATGCAAGACCCCACCCACATTATCCAATTTTGTCAAATTTTCTGCTGCATCTCCAAAACTAGAAATACAGAATCACTAAGAACTTCCGTAACGGCAAAATTGAAAATGTTTTAGGGTCGGTTTGACTGAACTTGTTCATCGACAGTACTGGAAAGTGAAAGCTATGGTCCACGCCCTCAATTTGCACCGATGTAAGTCCTTAAGTTGTTATGTTATAGTGCCTAAAACAATACTTTTTATCGACGTTATGTCCTGTATTTCAATTCAAAATGCTGGAAAAATGATGTGCTTGTTTAGAGCCGGAAGAATACGAAGAGCATCAAGGATAATGTCGTACACAGGATGCAACTTGTTCAAATGAAACCACCATTTAACTCCTTTGTCTTAGCTGTTAATATACCATCATAATTAGACATTTGTTAAAATTGTTATTGTTACGGTTCTGTTAGTTTCAAGAGAAGTTAAAACAAATTTATTTAATGTATCTACGATTATAATCTACAAATTTTGCCAGTGAACGGACATGCTTGTTATAAATTTGGTTGCAAGATTATAAATATCGCAATTCATGTGCAAAGGATTTTTTTTTACAGTTTGTTTTTGCATTTTATTAAAATAACGGAAGGTAAAGCGTTGACACTTTTAAATTAGGAAAGAATAAAACGTAAAATAAATAGAAAAGTTGTTTGTTTTTGAGACAATACATCATCCTTTAAAAAAGAGAATATTTTAATATTTAAAATTGCGTTCTGCACTCTTGTTTATATTAAAATTGAGATACATTCCATAATCATTAAACTATATATTTTGTAAGGCCTACAATTTTACAGCAAAAAAGTGGAAAAGGGCACGTATTTCTTTTTAAAGCAATGAAGCGTGTACGGTTTGATAATTCCATATAGTGCATGCCAGAGTGGGTTTCAGTCTGTCCTTTTTTATGCTTCGAGATCTGTTCGGCAATCGACATTATCAAAACACGATCGAGTATGTAATGAATAAGCAAACAATATCAACGCCTGAATCCCAGGCTAAATACATGCGTATTGAAAAAAAAGAGAAAAGAAAAACAAAATACAGCATGAAACAAACATCTGGCTACACTTAAACATTCATGTATATCTACTTAATTTTATGCCAAATGCAATTGGTTTTACTTATACCACTTGAAATCAAAAGAGCTTGTGAAAGACATCTTATGAACCTTACAGAATTTTCGTAAACAACTCGACGGCTTGAATAAGATGGTATAACATAAGGCCGGGCCTATTTTAACATTTTTTACCTGTTACACTTGTTAAAGAGGCGCTATGTGTCCTCCTTTTCCCTTTTCACGTTTGTGTATTATATATTGATAATTGATAATGATATATTATGTATTATATATTATATAAACATTGAACAAAAATGGAATCCCTCCATTAAGAATTAAAGACTTTGGTGTCAATTGCGTTCCTTAAAAAATTATTTCCGTTTCAAAAAATAGGCATAATTTACGATGGTTCTTTGGTCAGCTGTTGTGAGAATATATAATACTGCTTTTCTTCTTCTTCTTCTTCTTATTATTATTATTATTTTATTGTTTAATTAAGTCAGTTATTGAAAGAATTATGTAGCAATGTTTGTAAATATATATAACATGGCATTTGTCTGATACTTGTCAATCAGTATGAAAACCGTTTCATTGATAATGTCTCTGTTTTTCAATTCCGTAAAAACTGTTTCATTGTATATGCATGTCAAAGCTGGAACTAATACAAAGCTTAACAACTGGAATACACATTTTGAAATTCATTAAAAGCCTATACAAATATAGTTTCTTCTTCCGTGCTTTTGCGAATATGTCATTCTATAAAAAATAATATTTTAGATTTGGCCTTTTATTTCAATGTACAATGATTAGGCCTTGCATGAGCAAAGCAAATGTACTTAATATAATGTTTGAGACAAGCACTAGGAGAAAAGACAGCTGTAAAACATTTATTTCATCTAGATTTATTTTCATAAAAAAAGCGCAAAACATATTCTAAGGAATCAGATAAATCATTCGGACTTTTTGACGGTATTTCGTTTATCCAGTAAGAAAAACTATGTCACTTACGTTTGTGAAAGTTTTTTTGTTTTTACTTTTAATTAGAAAGTGTTCATTGTTTAGTTTTGAGTATGTCTTAAAAAAAGTTGATAGTCTTGAAGCTAGAGTGGTTGCTCTGGAGACGGTGGATGGTTTAAGGCGTCTTGAAATCAATGAGATTTTTGTTCAATTTTCTGAGTTCACCAAAAAATTGAGAGCAATGAACATGTCATTAATTTCGACAAGTACAAACGTGGATGTTAACAATTGTAATACTTCAGTTGTGAGTACAGATGGACACTCACTTAGTTACCTGGTCAAAGGAATGGCTGCGGAGAAACTTTTGAGCTACAAGAACAGAAAGAACTTTGAGAGAATGATAAATTCCTTACGAAATATATTTAGCGACCACGAGAATAACTTTGAAGAGATGACGAAAATGTTAAAAAGTGAAATAAATCAAAATAGAGAAAATATAAAAATCGTACAAACTTTAGTGGCAGATACATATGATACGATAAAAGAAGGGTATAGAAATGAAATGGCCTCTTTAAAGACTGAATTTGAGCATGCACGGAACAAAATGGAGAAAGAAATAGAATTGTTGAAAGACGTAACCATGATTCATCGGCCGATCGGGATAAAATCATGCAAAGATTTATTAGGCCAGGAACAGTTTGTAAATGGTATTTATGAGCTCCATAATGATCTGAAAGTTTACTGTGATCAAAAAACAGATGGGGGAGGTTGGATAGTTTTTCAGCGTCGTGAAGATGGAAGTGTCAATTTTGAACGCACATGGGATAACTACAAAGCTGGATTTGGAGATTTATTGCACGAGTTTTGGCTAGGAAACGATAATTTACATGTCCTTACAGAACATGGTAACCACGAGATACGTATAGATATGGAGGACTTTGAAGGTAATAAGGCTTATGCTAAGTACAGTCATTTCAAAGTTCATGGAGAAGTTGATAAGTACAGGCTTGAAGTGAGTGGGTACAGTGGAAATGCTGGCGATTCTCTCTCCAGTCATAACAAAATGGCATTTTCTACAGTAGACAGGGATAATGATCCGTACACTGGCAATTGCGCTAAGGATTACAGAGGTGCATGGTGGTATTTTTCAGGCTGTCACAATTCAAATCTCAACGGATTTTACTACCAGGGGTCGGGTTCACCACATGGGAAAGGTGCGATATGGTATTATTGGAAACAATCTTATTCGTATTCCCTTAAATTTGTCGAGATGAAGCTACGACCAACTTAATCTCATTGAATGTTTTGTAAAAGAATCGAGATTCATAAAATTTGGAATAATACATCTTCGTCTGAACACGTGTCTAATGAACAGTTTTTGGAAATACATTTTGGAATGTGTTGATGCAAACAGTCACGCAGTGTTAATGCTACATAAGGAAACTTGTTGTGAAAAAGTGTACCCTTACACGATGAAATAAATGCATGAGTTCATTCATTTGTACATTTTATATCATAGAGCGCATGGTTGGAACAAATCATTGGAATACTCTATAATGCCTTACATTTAGATGAATGTGTGGTAAGATAAAACATAGGCTATACAAATGTTATGTGTAATATAACATAATGCACTGTATAAAAAAAAACGATTAAATTCCAAATTGACGAAATCAGCTGAAGTATCGTGAAATACTTTAAATGATGCATTTGATAACAATAAGGTGTTAATTTGACAATTTGTTTTGATGAATTTGACCAGGAATATAACTTTAACATTTTTTTTTCAAAGTTTGTTTAATGTCAGCACATTGCAATAATTTGAATGTACTAAATAGAACTCGTTGCATATTTATCATTCTAAATCGCTTTACTTTATTCCCTTATTAAACAGTCCTGTCACTCGAGTGCATATTTCTTGGAAAACATGCACAGAATAAACTAAAGAATGCCTACATTTCATACGAAATAATAAATTCTTACAATATTCATGTTTAAGATGAAATCGTGAAGAATAGATTCTTGTGTCCAAAAATAATCGTCACATTAAATCAGTATATTCGTTTCTGCTCTGAAAAGTTATTTAGTCATACAATGTGGTGTATTAAGCAGCTGATGCTACAAGGTGTAAATAAAGTAACAATTCGTTATATAGTACAATTTGACATGTTATATGACCCACTATAACGGTTGTCAGCATAAATTTGTCGATGGCTACAACATGAGCGATTTGAGTGATTTGACTTCATGCTACTAGGCTTCCTAACCTATAAATGATTGATAATTGAACCACAATGTTGTTTCATATTTTGTTATTTGCTCATACGAAAATTAATCATTAAGTTCCTGACAAATGTTATGAGACCTTGTGTCTAGGACAGAACACCTTAAAATAAAATAATGAGATTTGCATTGTTCCAATGTTTCTATATAAACTTCAGTAGAAGAAATAACAGATCATTGTCTATGGTTGTTGAATTCATAGAACTACTTCATATCGACGGATGGTTATTTTTGCCCCATTGTAGCATGTGCGGTGGCAAAGAGAGGACATATGAAAATTTTATCTATAACGTGGCTAGTGATAGCTACTATGTGCGCACGTGAAAGCTACTACGTGCGTACTAGATAGTTACTATGTGTGCATGAAATAGCTACTACGTGCGCACTCGATCGCTACTATACGTGCGCACGCGATAGCTACAGTACTATACATTCGCACGAGATAGCCCCTACGTTGGTCAATCATTACGTGCACATGTAATAGCTATCGCGTGCGCACGTAGTAGCTATCGCGTGCGCACATGGTTGATAAAATATTTTCGTGCCACCGTATGCATGTCCTCATCTAACAAAACTGTTTAACAATTTGCTTATATCTCCTTACAGTAAATGAGGGTTTTGTGAGGGCATTGCGGTCTGTACAGTTGGGCAAAGCGGTCTGAACTTTAAAATGCAAAGTCTTCTAGTGTAAATAGTATAAGTGCTTTGTAATAGCAGGAATGTTAGAAATAATATATATTCTATGTATATTATATGTATAATAGGTTAAGTAACACGATGATTATAAAGGCTATTTTGTAGGTTTCAAATCATACACTGGTCTTACTTGTATCAAGTTTGAAGCATTATATGCGTTCAAAGTATAGTTTAGAAGTAACATTCGTTTTGTTTTGTTTGTATAATTTCAATATTTTGTGCCATATTACTATTGCAATAAATAAAAACCATATAGCTTAGATTAGTAAATGTACTATGAAGACCAGTGTATGGAAGAGAATTTTCATTCATGTTTTAAAGTATACTATGTAATAGATGCTGACAATGTCTCTCCCGAGATTGCAAGTGTAATACATACACGAAGTATTTCTTAATACATGTATTATATATTTGAATGTAGAATCTCTCAAAAAGTAAATAACGTGTAAATTAAATATACATGTATAATCAATGGTAACCATTAATAATGAAAGAAAAGAAATACTTGCAGTCACGTCATCTTGCTATGTAATTAGTTATTTACTTATGCATACATGTAATTGTATATACAAATGTATCATGAATGCTTGTATATGACTCTTTTGAGAGTTAATTTGCAAAATAGAGATTCTTCTTCTTCTTCTTCTTCTATATTCCGTTTAATTTGAAGGTGCGTAAAAATACATGGACTGTCTTGTTGTCTGAACATTCCTTGCAAATAATTCTTCATCTTTAAATAAATTTAGAATTATGTTGATTCGTTTTATTTACGCCATGTGATCATCCTTTTTTCAAAAGGGCTTGGCTCACTAAAACCATAATAGTGCCCTAAAATTTGAAAAAAAAAATAAAATTGCTTCACCATATCAAATGCGTTTATTTTTAGATATGTCATTTGCAAATATGTAGCCCATGTTGATTTTATATTATTACTTCATACCAAAATAATAATTCTTAGACACACTTGTTTTGGGAAAATCTGTGATAAGTGAAAATCCCCCCCCCCCCAAAAAAAGAGTATGGGCCACTGCATTTGACAATTTATCATCCGGCATGTGTGTTCAATAGATAAACCGAATTCCAAAAATGTATATTTGCAATTGGAACATGTGGTGATTCATATTTAAATTTTAACTGAAAGCACGCTGGCAATGCCCGTTAAACTCAATATATCATATCACAATTTAGACATTGGTTTTAATATTAATAAATAAATAATATTTTTTTAATACATCAATCACCAATTTTCAACAATGTATATTAAAAAGTAAAAACTTCAGTGGATGTATTTGTTTACATTATGTCCGATAGTTTTACACGAACAAACCAATATTTTTCGAAAAGTGTTCAAAAGTCTTACACTGATTATTAGATTTCTATTTATTATCAATTTAATATTAAAATGTTGTTTCTCGGGTATCTTATTGTAATGAAATCAAGAAAGATAACTAATTTAGAAACATTTCAGACTTGTGACTTTACTTGTTATCACATAACAAACATCTGTTTAAGTATTCACATAAAAGCTAGAATCTTGTTCGCAATATGACAAACATATTTAAATGATTGTGAAAAAATTATTCAAATGCATAGCCGAATGGTTAGGATTGTTTTTCAGTCCAAGCGAAAGAGTTTGAATCTAAAATCGACATTTTGGTCAACTTCTCATGATAATAGATCTAAATTCATTTTTAAATAATGTTATGAAATATATGAAGAATGAAATTCTTTTTTTACATGTTGGCATGACAAAATCTCTTTTGAACATGGGGTTTACGCTCATTTTAATTCCGAAGTTGAACGTGGACTTTTCTATGATATCATCGACAAAAGGAATTTTCACTGGAAGGAAAATAGAAGCGGGACTCGGAAATCTGTTTGTATATATATAATCACCAAATAAAGACATTTCTCTGCAAAGGTTTGTACGCAATTAAAAAGTGCGTTATGTCAAGTTAAACCCTTAAAATAGACATTAATGCTTGGTCCTTTTGCCACATTTGTAAGTGTTTTATGCTTTAACCAAAATAAGGCTTAAATGCTCCCCACCAGGTCAAACTGTACAGAAATAATTGCATAAAGGCAATAAACTGCACCGTGTGCGTGTAATAAGTTGGAAAAAGTTAAATTTTGACTCCTGCCTCACCAGGTGTCAAGTATTAAGTAAAATTCAGTCAAAAACTTACCAACGACAGCATTTAAATGGCCATTTTCTACCGCTATTGCGACAAATATTCCACCGCGGCTGCGATGAACCAACAGCTTTTGCGACAGCTATGGCCAGTGTGATATTTCTTTTGTGATGACGTGAATTTAAAAGGTACACACTAATACATGTATATATGTTTGTCAAAATATTTATATGAATATATTAAATGGGAGTTCGAACTTCGTGGTTTTCAAAATATTCTAATGAGTATACAATGGAACCACAATAAATAAATATACAATAATATACAATAAATCCGTGATGGAACTTAAAAAAATCAGATTTCTATTTAAACTGGAGTTGAAATCCTCTACTTGTTTTAGAGAACTCTTGTTACCTGAAAAGAGTAGCGCTAAAAGTGTAAATAATGAGCCATTAAAGTAGCGAATGTAACCAAATTAGTATATTGACTTCCATATAAAATACTATAACTGACACAGGTTTTTGGACAATGGATACTGTAAACATGCACCAAACTTAATTTACAAATTTCTGAGTCACAGTATAAAACTTATAGGTCCCTGCTGGTAACCTAGATTTTATACTTCAGTGTGTTCGAAAGTAAAATTGTCTAACCGTACTTTTCAAGTCGGGAATATTTTTTCCGTTTATAAAACACGTGTTTCACGAGATATATTAATACGCTTGCCGCCTAAACCTAAATCAGTAACCGTCCGATTTTACCTCTGAAAATGGCCAGTCAATTTACCTTGTTTACACTCCATGCTTATGTTTGCTTTGAATTAACCGATGCAGACGTAGAAACACATTTTCTATTTTTTGGAAATCTCTTTGAAACAGGTAATATTTTTATTTTGTTGAAATACAACTGTTTACCTTACCCCACCACTTTTTACAATGCGTCAAATGCACCCCACCCACAGACACTTAGGGTGTGGAGCTCAAAGCGCATTTAAATTCCAAATAAAATGTATATTTGTCATTCCATGTAGTTAAATATAATCTGTGGTCACAAGCATACTACCTAAAATGACAGTTAACATACTGACCAATCATGTCAGTACCTGCTTTAATTCCTCGAAGGTACTTGTTTAACAAATTCAAATTGCAGAGAATTTTAATGATGCTGGGTTGCTGGCATCAAATCACTTGCCTTTTTTGTTCTATTGATGTGATTGGCTTTAGTTGTTTTACTCGTAAACGTATCCAGTGCTATAATGCCTGCATATGCACTGAAACGTACCAAATATATGTTTTTAATACAATCTACGTCCACATATTTTCACTTGCTATATATTTTAAAATTCATATAGACCCTGCAACGCAATTGTTTATGGTTTTATATCATAAATCTGTTGCTCAGATGAAGATTTATCAATATTAAAATTTAACATTTCATGTAAATAAATGGAGGTAATTAGAAATTTAATTACGATAAAGTCTAAGCTTTCAATAAAAATGAATGCATTAATTTTAACGTTTAATTATAATGTGTATAAAATTTGCTTTATATATTTAGCATATTCTTGGGTTTGAAGAATAATTATATGTACATATTTAAAACTTCACCTAACGGTACTGTATGTTACATCCTTCATTACAACATACAGGATCTTTAATATGAAATTAGGATTTTCTGTAGGATCATTTATTTTGGTTATAATTTATTTCTAGGCTGTCGGAGAGCCACCTCTTCTTTTGTCACTTTCTGTAATTGCCGCAATCAAAGAGGCCGTACTCGCAGCTAGGGCACAAATCGGACAGAATGGATACTTCATACTAGATTCCCCAGCAACCGTTAAAAGAATTCAAGAAACATGCGGAAAGCAAATTTAATTTTTTGAACGATTTATTGAATATTGATATTCATATTGATTTAGTGTTTGAGATTGAATGTTACGTTAAATATATTAAATATGAATTGCTTGTCCGCGGAATATAACTGCCCGCGTATTATATAGTTATTTCATGTGTAATAGGATGGGTATTTACGGTAATCTAAGTTAACAGTTAATCTATAAGTTATGAGTTACTATCTTTCATACTTATTGCATGGTATATACAATATTATTCTCAACCAATCAAATTGTTGCAGTGAATACTGAATGACTTTGGCAATGTTAGCTAGGTTAGGTACTGTACCTACTCTGGTCAGTACTACAAGGCTTAGCCTTGAAACATTAAACTTGACTTAGTCCTAAATACAAGCTTTTACGTTTATTGTAATCGTCCTCTTATAAAATATATCATAAACATAATCTTAATTAAATTTTTAAATAAGTAATATAAAACTATATATAATTTAATTAGTATACTTATTAAATGTGTTAGGGCTTTTCATATAATAAAAGCATTGACTGAAATTGTATTTACTAGTTGTTGTTGTTTAGTCCATCATCTTTATTTAGAGATACTTATATAAGTCTACTGAGCCCTGAGAATTTATTCCAGTTATAATTTGTGATCGTTTGGTGTCCGTGTAAGCACTGATTCTCATTAGAACCTAACAACTATTACACATGATATTATATAATCTACATGCATGTGTATGTTGAAAAGTTAATTGATTTCAAATCAATTTACTACATGCATAGGACATATATTTTCTGTAGCGTGATGAATTATTATAATCAAAAGTTATGGAGGAAGGATCCAAGAAATAAATGTTAGTTTGTATTTCAGGGGAGGATCACTTTCAATTAATTCTTTGTGTGAAGCTATTTTCAACATAAATCTCTGCTATTTTTTTCCAGCTAGACTTTAAAGAAAACTTTGTTGTGTGTATAATTCTATTTGTATTACGCTTCTGAACAGGCATATTTTAAAAAGAAACACATCCTCAGTTCCATTTTATACAGATAAATTATGTGGAAATAAATTTTATTTCATTTAAATCAAGGGCGTATATGACTTTTTATGCTTTTAATAAGATTAGTTTTAGTTTATTTTTTTGTATTAAAAAAACTCTGTATAATATGAATGTGTGCTATTTATCACAATGCTAGATATTAAACAGTTTATTAAGTATTAATTTTCCCCCATCAACAAAATGCCAGTTTGTTATTGATAACTACACAATGAACATTTGTATCAGTTACATAAACATTACAGAGTAGCCTCCCTTAGTTGAAAGAAGAGAAAACTGTTATCCAACATATTGTAATTTGGATTCAGAGCCATCAAAAAATAAATTTCATTTTAGTGCATTTATATGTGAATAGATTATTAATACATGTCTTGTCCGAAGAAAAAAACGAAAAGTTTTTGCTTTATTTATGACGCTGTAATTTTTAACTGTTAAATGTTTTTTTTATATTAAAATTGCGTTTTGCGCTCTTGTTGATACAGTCAAATATCGTTATCTCGACTTCGCTTTTCTCGATATTTCGTTATCTCGATGACATTTTGAAAGTTTCGATTTTCTTCCTTCTTTGTCTATATTGGAAATATTTGTTTATCTCGATATTTTTATTTCGATATTTTCAGTATCTCGATGTACAATTTCAGCCCCGACAGTTATTTTCACACTATTATCCTTTGTTTATCTCGAGTTATAGTTTTCTTTCGTCTGTTCCCTTCAGACGTGTGAAAAAGACAAACTAGACGAAAACTGCTCAATAGCGCGTGCCATAATGATGATTATGTTTGTAAGATGTTTAGCTGTTTTTATCGGTTTTAATTTATTTAGGGTGTTGATTGACTTATGTCCAAAATGAGTGAAATTTACAAATTCTTCAAAATTCATTAAAACCAAACATATTTTTTTCTATGGCCTACGCTTTTACAGTAAAAAAAAGTGGGAAAGGGGAGGTTTTTCTTTTAAACGCAATGTAGCGTGTACGGTTTGATAATTCAATGTAGTGCATGCCAGCCTGGGCTCAAGTCTGTCTATTTTAATGCTTCTGTTCGACTTTATTAAAACACGATCGAGTATGTAATAGCGCTTATGTTATGAATAAGCAAAAAGTATCAACGCATGAATCCCAGGCTAAGTACATGTCTATTGAAAAAAAGAAGAAGAAAAAATACATCTCGAAACAAACATCTGGCTTCACTTAAACATTCATGTATATATCTACTTAATTATACGGCAACTTCAAGTGGAGTTTCTTATCTAGAGCTTGTGAACTACATCATTTAAACCTTACAGAATTTTCGTAAACAACTCGACGGGTAAAACATAACAAGTCCGGGCCTCATTTAACATTTTTTCCCCTGTTACACTTGTTAAAAAGGCGCTAGATGTCCTACCTTGCCCTCTTCAGCTAGTTTGTGTATGTACATAGAGTTACTTTTATTGTATTTATATACACAAAGGACAAACATGAAATACCTCGATTAAGAATTAAAGACTTATGCCTTAAAAAATTATTTCCGTTTCAGAAAATAGGCATAATTTATGATGGTTCTTTGGTCCGCTGTTGTGAGAAAATAATACTGTTTTTTTCTTTTTCTTTTTCTTCTTCTTCTTCTTCTTATTTATTATTCTTATTATTATTGTTGTTGTTGCTGTTGTTGTTCAATTAAGTCAGTTATTGAAAGAATTATGTTGTAAATATATATAACATGGCATTTGTCTGTTACTTGTCAATCAATGTGAAAACCGTTTTGCAAAAAAGACGTATTGATAATGTTTCTGTTTTTCAATTCAGTAAAAACTGTTTCATTGTATATGCATGTTAAAGCTGGAACTAAAACAAAGTTTAAAAACTGGAATACACATTTTGAAATGCATTAAAAGCCTATACGAACTTCTGTGCTTTTACGAATATGCCATTCAATAAAAAAATAATATTTTAGATTTGGCCTTTTATTTCAATTGTTCCAATAAATAGGCCTTGCATGAGCAAAACAAATCTACTTAATATAATGTTTGAGACAAGCGCTAGGAGAAAAGACAGCTGTTAAACATTTATTTCATCTAGATTTATTTTCATAAATAAAGCGCAAAACATATTCTAAGGAATAACATAAAGCATTTGGACTTTTTGACGATTTTTCGTTTATTCAGTTAGAAAAACTATGTCACTTACGTTTGTAAAAGTTTATTTGTTTTTACTTTTAATAAGAAAGTGTTCATTCTTCAGTTTTGAGTATGCCTTAAAAAAAGTTGATAGTCTTGAAGCTAGACTGGTTGCTTTGGAGACAGTGGATGGTTTAAGGCGTCTTGAAATCGATGAGATTTTTGTTCAATTTTCTGAATTCACCAAAAAATTGAGAGCAGTGAATATGTCATTAATTTCGACAGGTGCAAACGCGGATGTAAACAATTGTAAAAATTCAGTTGTGAGTACAGATGGACACTCACTTAATTACCTAGTGAAAGGAATGGCTGCGGAGAAGCTGATGAGCTACAAGAACAGACAGAATCTTGAGAGATTGATAAGTTACTTGCAAAATGTATTTAGCGACCACGAGAATAAGTTTGAAGAGATGACAAAAATGTTAAAAAGTGAAATTGATCAAAATATAGACAATCTGATAAATGGCCAAGCTTTAATGGCAGACACATGTGAAACCATAAAAGAAGGGTATAGAAATGAAATGGCCTCTTTAAAGGCTGAATTCGAGCATACACAGAAGGAAATGAAACATCTTGAGAGATTGATAAGTTCCTTAACAAATGTATATACTGACCACGAGAATAAGTTTGAAGAGATGACGAAAATGTTAAAATGTGAAATTGATCAAAATAGAGAAAATCTGATAAATGGCCAAGCTTTATTTGCAGACACATGTGAAACGATAAAAGAAGGATATAAAAATGAAATGGCCAATTTAAAGGCTGAATTTAAGCATGCACAGAATGAAATGAAAAAAGAAAAAGAATTGCTAAAAGGCGAAACAATCAAGAAAGAATCATGCGTAGATTTATTTAGTCAGAAACAGTTCGTTAGTGGTATTTATGAGCTCCATAATGGGCTAAACGTTTATTGTGACCAAACTACTGATGGGGGAGGTTGGATAGTTTTTCAGCGTCGTGAAGATGGAAGTGACATTTTTGAACGCACATGGGATAACTACAAAACAGGATTTGGAGATTTATTGCACGAGTTTTGGCTAGGAAATGACAATTTACATGTCCTTACAGAACATGGTAACCACGAGTTACGTATAGATATGGAGGACTTTGAAGGTAATAAGGCTTATGCTAAATACAGTCATTTCAAAGTTTATGGAGAAAATGATAAGTACAGCCTTGAAGTGAGTGGGTATAGTGGGAATGCTGGCGATTCTCTCATCTATCATAATGAAATGGCATTTTCTACAGTAGACAGGGATAATGATCCGTACCTTGGCAATTGTGCCAAGAAGTACAGAGGTGCATGGTGGTTTGCGTCAGGCTGTCACTATTCAAATCTCAACGGAGTTTACTACCATGGGTCGAGCTCACCAAATGGTGAAGGTGTAATATGGTATCATTGGAAAGAATCTTTTAGGTATTCCCTAAAACGTGTCGAGATGAAGCTACGATCAACTTAATCTTATGGATGTTTTGTAATAGAATAGAGATTCACATATCTTGGAATAATACATCTTCGTCTGTACATGTGTGTCTAATGAATGAATGAATGTTCACAAAGACATTTTTGCAATGTGTGAATGCAAACAATCACGGAGTGTTAATGCAACATAATGAAAAAATGTACAATTAGACAATTAAATATGCATGAATTGAACACAGTTGTACATTTATTATTTTATAGAGCGCATATTGGCAGAAATTCATTGAAAAATTAGACAGTGCCTTATAAACACTTCTAAATTCCAAATTAACGAAGCAATTAAGTATCGAGAAATACTATTTAAAAACAATTTACTTAAAAACTAAAAATTGAAAGTTTGTTAAATGTCAGCACATTGGAATAATTTGAAAGTATTAAATAGAACTCGTTGCATATTTATCATTCTAAATCGCTTCATTTTACCCCCCTCTAAACAGTGATGTCATCCGAGTGAATATTTCTAGGAAAATATGCACAGAATAAATAAGGATGCCTACATTTCATACGAAATAATAAATTCTTACAATCTTCATGTTAAAGATGAAATCGTGAAGAATAGATTATTGTGTCGAAAACTAATCGTCACTTTAAATCAATATGTTGATTTCAACTCTTACTAATTATTCAGTCGCACAAAAAAGAACATTATGCTGGTGATGACCAATATAGAATGAATAATGGAATATAATATTTGAAAGGTTCTACGATCAACTATAAAGGGTGTCAGCATATATTTGGTGATGACTACTACACGTGTATAATCACCCTGTGGTATAATATATAAAGAAGATATATAATATACATGTATAGCAAACTACCGTTTATACACGGACGTATTTGCTGTTTAATACGACTTCATTATGTTTCATATCTTTCTTTTCAAATCAAAAAGATAATTCAAGAAAAGTACTGTTTAGATTCCATACAATTCAAATACATATTTTGTAAATTGTAGCTATTCACTTTATGAATTGAAGGTACGTTATGCCTCAGGAACGAATGAATATTTCGTTCTGTAAAAATGGCAAATAGGAGTTTTATAATGTTTGGGGCATAGTTAAGATGCATATCACCTAAGGAAATAGTGCTGAATGTAAAATAATGGGTCATAAAAGTATCAAAATGTAAACAAAGTAGTATTTTGACTTGTATTCAAAATACTAAATCGCTGTATCTGTAATTATTGCCAAAAGCAACAGAAGAAAAAGATGGCTCAGGTAATTGGCCAATGAGTAACTTTCTGGAAAATATAACCGGACGTTAAAAAACAAAGAAACAACAACAAGCTTTTGAAAAATAAAGATTTAAGTATTTCTGAGGCATAATGGACATTCATTGATTTAGAGATGGCTACATAACCGAACGAGTGATTTGATTACAATTTACTAGGCTTCCTTACCTATAAATGATTTATAATTAAACCACAATGTTGTTTCATATTTTGTTATTTGCTCATACGAAAATTAATCCAAGTACCTGACAAATGTTATGAGACCTTGTGTCTAGGACAGAACACCTTAAAATAAAATAATGATATTTGCATTGCTCCAATGTTTCTATATAAAATTCAGTACAAGAAATAACAGTTCATTGTCTATGGTTGTTGAATTCATAGAATTTACAATGCTACATATTTACATATTTACAATTTACATATCGACGGATGGTTAATTTTGCCCAGTTGTAACTTGCTTGTACGGTGGCATAAAGGGGACATCAGCAATATTTTAATTATCACGTGGGCACGCGATAGCTACTACTTCCGCACGTGAAAGCTACTACGTGCGTACTAGATAGTTACTATTTGCGCACGTAATAGCTACTACGTGCGCACACGATAGCTACTAAACGTGCGCACGCGATAGCTACTAGGTTGGTAAATCATTACGTGCGCACGTAATAGCTATCGCATGCACACGAAGTGTCTAGCAAAAACTGTTTAAAATTTGCTTTTATCTTCTTACAGTAAATGAGGGCTTTGTGAGGGCATTGCGGTCTGTACAGTTGGGCAAAGCGGTCTAAAGTGTACAATGCAAAGTCCTCTAGTGTAAATAATATAAGTGCTTTGTAATAGCAGGAATGTTAGAAATAATATATATTCTATGTATATTATATGTATAGTAGGTTAAGTAACATGATGATTATAAAGGCTATTTTGTAAGTTTCAAATCATACACTGGTCTTACTTGTATCAAGTTTGAAGCATTATATGCGTTCAAAGTATAGTTTAGAAGTAACATTCGTTTTGTTTTGTTTGTATAATTTCAATATTTTGTGCCATATTACTATTGCAATAAATCAAAACCATATAGCTTAGATTAGTAAATGTACTACAAAGACCAGTGTATTGAAGAGAATTTCCATTCATGTTTTAAAGTATACTATGTAATAGATTTTTCTGACAATGTCTCTCCCGAGATTGCAAGTGTAATACATAATTATACACAAAGTATTTTTTGAATGTAGAATCTCTCAAAAAGTAATTCACTTGTAAATTAAATATATAATCAATGGTAACCATTAATAATGAAAGAAAAGAAATACTTGCATCTTGCTATGTACTTAGTTATTTACTTATGCATACATGTAATTTTATATATCATGAATGCTTGTACATGACTATTTTGAGAGTTAATTTGCAAAATAAAGATTCTTCTTCTTCTTATTCTTCTTCTTCTTCTATATTCCGTTTAATTTTAAGGTGTGTAAGAAATACATGGACGGTCTTGCTGTCTGATCATTCCCTGCAAATAATTCTTCATCTTTAAATAAATTTAGAATTATGTTGATTCTTTTTATTTACACTATGTGACCATTCATTTTTAAAAGGGCTTAGCTCACTTCTAAACACATAATAGTGCCCTCAAATTTGGTAAAAAATAGAATGGCTTCAACATATCAAATGCGTTTATTTTTATGCACACCTACCCTAGATATGCCATTTGCAAATATGTAGCCTATGTTGATTTTATATTATTACTTCATACCAAAATAATAATTCTTAAACACACTTGTTTTGGGAAATCTGTGATATGTGAAAATCCCCCCCCCCCACAACCCCCAAAAAAGTATGAGACACTGCATTTGACAATTTATCATCGGCATGTGTGTTCAATAGATAAAATTATATTTGCAATCGGAATATGTGGTGACTCATATGTAAATTTTAACTGAAAGCACACTGGAACTGCCCGTTAAACTCAATATATCATATCACAATTTAGACATTAGTTTGAGTATAAATAAATACATAATATTTTTTCAATACATCAATCACCAATTTTCAACAATGCATATTAAAAAGTAAAAACTTCACAGTGTTACACTATGTCCGAACGATTTACAAGAACAAACAAATATTTTTCGAAAACTTTTGAAATTCAAAGCCATCAAAAAATAAATTTCATTTATAGTGCATTTATATGGGACTAGATTATTAATACATGTCTTGTCCGAAGAAAAAAAGTAAAGTTTTTGCTTTATTTATGATGCTGTAATAGACAGGACTGATTTTAAGAAAATATGAATACTAGAGGCATTTTATAGTACAAGTAATATCTTGAGTGTTTTAACCTAATACGGGTATGCTGAAGACGATTAGGGTGGATACCAAGAAACTAAAATTGACTTTGACCTTCAAAATGTCAATTCAAAATGGCCGCTTAAAAATACTAAAAAAGGTCATAAAAACTATGAAACAGTACGATGCAATTCATTATTCTTGTCAAAATCAAATGATTATTCAATATTCTCTAAGTTTATACAATTATTAAGTTGATTAATAACAAATTTCTAGTAATATATAAGGTTAACACGTAAAAATCACCCCAAAACAAGGTCATTAAGGTCATATATATTTTCATTTCGCAAAGCATGATTATTATTATCATGTAAGGTAAAACTACATTTCGTTATTAAACTTATATCATATTTAAGAATATGCTGAATGAATTTAATACTGTAGCTTTGAAATAACTTTACTGTGTTATGCAATAAAGCTCTCACTATGGTTTCATAATTATGTATATTTCACATCACACTCATGAATTGAGTGCCCATTCGTTATATGTATACATGCCAGTATTTGTCACAGCCTGAAGCATTGGCTTGGATAAGTTGTTTAGTCTTTCAATATGTTGTTTTCTGATTTTTGTTTACTGATCAAGAATGTGGCAAAGGCTATGTCGGTCTTAAACATAAAAACTATTAAAGGGCAGATTGAAATTAATTCAATTATTAGCATTTCCAAAAACGCTAGAAATCACCATTCAGCCAGGTTTTTGAAAGAACAAATCGTGAAAAAACCTCATTCCTGAACAAAAGAGCTAATATTTCTTCTCTTAAGAGAAACAGCCCATATATTAATTACCCAGTAGAAGCCCACACACTTGATATGAAGAAAGTAGTAAAGTTTTAATTCTATATAAAGCTAACCCGACAAAAAGCATGGCGGATGGCGTGTTCCGTAGGTGCCCCTTTTTGAGTTTTTTTTCTTTCAATGTGTTATCATGTGGCATTAAATTATGCATTTTGAATGGCTTATGACAGGCGCTGTTCAAGGAGAAATGGTTGAATCTTGTTAATTGTATATTATGTCGCCATCCAGGAACAGCAACAATAGCAAAACATCTAGGTAAGGTAATGTAAACCAGTGACTTGTAAGAAAATCAGGGTTGACTGGGTTGGAGATTCCTTAAGAGACATTCTTTTTTATTTTAGGGTTTTTATGGATTCCACTGCAAAACAATAAGGCTATGAGCGTATTATGCCATGATCTCATTTGAATTTGAACCTAGGTTGACCAAGGCTATCGGTGATTTGAGCTTTGAAAATTCTATGGAAAATGCAACTGTAACGCTTTCATTTTCAAATCCCACATGGTGGTTAGGGATAAGTGGTGGGTAGTGGTAGTAAAATGTAGCAAAATACGGGCTTACAGTCTCTGAAACCCCTACAACTTTTATACGGGAGTGTCTCAGATTAAAAAAATGTTTTTATCTGAGGGCTTTGGGGATAGTTTTAGTGATAGTGGGGGTTATGGGAGCTAAGGAAAAGGTTTTTCCCAGGGGATAAGGGGGGGGAAGAGTATTTAAGAGTGACTACCCTTTGCCCCATTAAGTAATTTTGGGGAGTAAGGATAATGCAAGAAAGGGGGTGCCTGAATTATATAAAAAACCAGTGATTTTATATTCTTAGAAAAAAATTTTAAAAAATTTTGCACGTTTTTAGGGTTTTTATGCCT